GGCAAGTGTCTGCTTAGCACTTTGTAACTGGAAATTTCCGCATCGGAAAATCATTCGCTCGCGGTTCTATTAAATGCTAACAATGGAGCTAAATGGACAATTACGAAATTGAAGTAAACGTCATAGCGCTTGGAATATAGCATGGGACGTACCACCGTGCCCGCTGTTGATGAGCTTCTGATGTCGCTGCAAAATACAGACCCTCAGCCGGACGCACTGCCATCACCGGGGCAGGCCCACGCCGGCGTCACGTCGCTTCACCGGCGCCTGGTCAGCAAACACCGCCATCCCAAGGACAGCCCCGGCAGTGTGACGGGCCGCACGTGACGGGCTGGTCTGGCCCGGAGACCGCTTGTAATTAACATCCAGCAGTGTGGCGTTGCACCGGGGACACTCGCTGTTTGTAGCATCGAGCGCAACTTTGGTATGCCTTCCGGAGGGATGTTGACAAATCATTTTGCTAGACCCGACGGCAAACGATAGACATGGCTCCTGTATATCCCGGATTTCGTCCATTACATATTTGGCACCAAACTGGTTCTTTGTCTAAAAAAGCTAGCTTGGAATGGGGCTATCTCCTTTCTTTGTCATGCCAACTCCGTCGCACGCTTTGCCAGCCTGTAAACGCTGCTTGGCCTTTCATAACATAGCACTTGGACCGGAACAAAACGGCCTACTACTATGCTAAATCCTAGACGGCCCTCCAGATCTATGCACCTTTTCAACTTGCGCGACCTACACTTTTGTAGCAGTGTAGCTGTAGTATGACAGAGTTTGCGCATTCGATGCGATGCCAGCTTGCACCCTGCAGTTAATCACCTAGATTCGCCAAGGTTGAACTGGATCAGTTATTGTTATAGGCATTTTACTTGTCAACATAGGTACCCGTGGAAATATTTTGGTCTGTTTGTATTTATCTTGCGTGAGTTATTTTGCGACAAACACTACCAGATTCATACATGAATTTCCAAATTCCTGCCATAACGTTCTGTTTGCTTCACAACACTTTTTCCGCTCACAATGCTATGTGTTGTGTTATGCGTAATTGCCGGTTCGAAGGCACACGGTTTAACGGATCAGTGAGAGTGCAAAGCCGTGTTTCAACAATGAAATGTTCTAATCAAAGTCTCACAAGTGTCCGTCCCTGATCCCATGCCGAAGTCGGACTGCTGACCATGCGCATCACAAATGGCATGCAACAACCCACAACACTGACAGTTTGGGGGTAAACGCTCTGAAGCCTGCTTTGCATTTTACCGAACGTGGTCTTATTCACATTTCCAACAATTCCTTTTCTCGGAAGAGCAGCCCTTTCTCATGGCACAGCGCTGGTCGCGGTCTTTTGAGACGGCCGCGTCGGTCGTCAGCCTGCGTCCTATCCGTCCCTCCAGTTATCGACGTGCCTGTTGAGAAGGTCTTGCCAGTTCAGCTGCACTTTTAGATACACATTAGACGAACGATAAACGAGAGCCACTTTCGTTGATCGCATCGGGCCGTTTGCCTTATGGGTCTCGCAGTGGTTACAACACATTCTAAGCTTCTTAAGTAATTACAGCGACACACCGGCTTGTAGTTGCAACTACCATGAAATCCAAATGCAAGTGCAATGGAGTGAAATGGGCAAATGCAACAGGAAAATCCGTTATTTTCTGCGCAGCAAAGGTATTTTTGAATTGTCAAAAAGTAAGCAACATTTCTCAGAAACCCTGGGACGCACATTAAGGTCACATAACTCGGGGGAGAAATCAGGCTTTGCGGGCAAGTTAGATCACCCCTGTCGGCTAGGCCCTCCCCCACTGCACGCTTTTATAAAGTGACAACTCTGGTATATCTAATTCGAGTCTGACCATTGGCTGTCTAAGCCTCTAAGGCAGGCATTTCCACATTACAGGGGTCGGAGCAGAGGCATAGTTTCGCAAATCGCAAAATGGTTTGGCAGGGAGGGGGCTGAACAGCGAAAAATAGCGATACCTACCCGCAAAATGCGCCAATAAACAGATTTCTCGGAGGCTCCTGCCCACTTTCCACACACATCCTTAATCCTCCTCCTATGGGATAGAAAACTACACCCCTAACTCAGAGCCCTGGCTGAGTCACGTGGTCACTCGAGTCTGGCTTCAGGTCTTGGTGTCCTAGTGACATAGGTATAAAAATACCGTCACAATTGAGCATTTAATTGAAAATCGTACATTGTGTGTTCTTGGGTTTTACCACAAACCACGGTTTTACCACAGTTTTTTGGGAGCGGAACATTAAGGTTAAGCTGTCCGTCTATTTTTGGGAGCTGTCTTTACCATATGTCACATATGGGTGGAAAACCCCATGCGTTTGGATTCTTCTGCGGGCTGTATACTGTCACATATAGATGAAACCCACCATGCATTTGGAGTAGCCCCTCATTGTTTTTGAGCGCTCAATATGGACCCATGTGCGCTCAGAAGAAGTGATGGATCCAAAGTGTTTGTGGACATTTCATGTTCCTCGACGTATTTCCACGTGTGATAGGCCTCGACGAATTCATTCAGGATGTTGCCTGGTTTAGAACTATAACTGTCATTTGTCTATGTTTCTGTGATGTTTTTTCACCTTGTAATTTTAATAAAGGGATTGCTCTACATCTTTGCACAATACTTTTCAACTGTTATATCCACTTTCAAGATATTTCATTGCAGATTGCGGTAAGACCCTTTTCATAACTTTCCGTCCTTTCGTTTCTGAGTTCGGTGCCCGCGAAGTTGAACAGACTGCTGCGCGCTGCCTATTTGGAAGTCACCCATATGTTTTCAGAGACGTCGGAAGAATCCCTCCCCAATGGCCATACTGTGTTCATCGCCACAAAAGCATGTCAGTTAACTTATTCTTATCTGGAGCACGCAGCACGAATCGCCGCATTAATGGACAGCAGTTGGCTGAAAGGAAGTTTTCAATATTTGTTTGATGTTTTGAGCTGACAGTCATTTTGTAGATCATTCGGGGCAGTGCGTAGCCGTGCCCCTTTTAAGACCCAAAAACCTCTAGTTTCTGAGCTGTACGCTCGCGAAGATGCCGCTATTTCGTGCATGCTATTTCGCGTTTCTATGGCGTCATGCATAAGTTCGAGCATGCACGATGGCAAAGAAACGCCAGTCAAATCCTATCACCCCATTGGCCACGCGGTGTTCAAGGCCACTAACAATATAATCGTTGGGCCGTTGGTATTTGGCGTTCGTGGACACGTTTTCCATATATAATATACGTCAACTGCCGCTCAATCAATGTTGAGCATCCTGTGCAAGTTTAAACCAGCAATCATCTTTTTGTGGTACAATACAAAAAGTCGGACATGGGTGCTAGTTATTGTGGAAACAACACTTGCAATCAAATAATTTAAAAATGGTGTCATAATCGAGCATTTGAATACAAGCGAACAGCTTTGATTCACGGATAAATATGCAAGAACGCCACGAGAATAGGCCAAAACACGAGCACATACCAATATTTGGCTCAGCAAATACATCCGGCACCGCCACGGCCACCTCTCAGGAGATTGAAGTACTACAAGTGAGTGGCCATCTCGCACGGCTAGTTTGGCAGCACCTCAACGTCACAGAAACGTTTCTTGGTGCAATGAAACAAAGACGTATTGTGAGGCATGTTTACTTAATACGTACATTTTGCTGTCCCGAACAACCTTTTTCCATTTAAAGTATACCGATGGGAGCAAGTGAGTTTATTTAATCCTATCTGATTTTTTTTGCAACGATATGTTTAGATGTGAAACATTCTCTTTAAGATCAGCGCGCTATTCTTAACACATGCCGGTTAACCAGCTCGACGCGTTATGTGCACATCTCGATGACGAACCGTGTTTTGTGATACATAATACAGCCATTTGGGGAGTCCTACTGGTCATGCCGGATATAAGATTTAGGGTCAATTACCTCAAAATAGCGCCGTAACCGAGAATGCGATGCAAGAATACAAGAAAAGAACATGCCATCGCGGACAGCTGTACAAGAACGGCCAATAACGCCACGAGAAGGTCTAAACCACGCCCACATAACCATCGTCGGGTTTACCTCGTACGCATAGCTTAACAAGCCACCGTGCGGCGAGTTGAAGTACTACGAGTGAATCCGCCCGTCCGCCGCAGTGGCAGTTCTGACACGGTCACTCTGACGACGAATCCAACGTCATAAAAAGTTTCATGGTGTAGTGAGACAATAAAGCACAGATGAACGTATTTTATAAGCTGTGAAAATTTGTTATCTAAAGCAGAACAGTATTTTGCAATTAGAAGCATACCAATAGTTACAAGAGAGTTGTCCCAGCGTATCCGACGTTTGCCTCAATATCTTCAAATGTTGAGCACCCTTTATCGCTCAGCACATATCTAACACTCATTATAATTATACTTAAGCAACATTGCAAGGTCTCAGACTGCAGTTAGTAGGAGTTTATTCCTAGCCCAGCCAAACTAAGATACAAGTCTGTATGCCAAATCAATTCTGCTTCAGAATCAAGAATAAAGTATATTGATCACAAACGTTGCCTTTTGTGCTATAAGACACTGATGCCTGCATCACAAAAATTTGCCCACCATTTCATCTATGACAGATTCGTATTCGCACAATCGCACTATCCCATCCTGCCGATGGTCTACGATCATCTGAATTGGGATTTTCCACATCTAGAACAAGTCAGAACCACCACATTTTCGAGCCTTTCCGATGCTGATGCATCCAAGTTATGTACGTGCAGTGATACATGACCCTTGGCAGATGAGCCTTTACCATTCGCCGAACATGGGAGGACAAACGATAATCGCCGCTCGTGCTTCCTCTCGGATCTGAGCGCTCAGCGGCTGACGACGTTCGCCTCTCGTGTCAGACGCAAATCAGCTGGTAGGTGCCGCAACAGCCCAGCCCCGCCAGCCGGCCAATGAGCGGCGCCGCAGGGTGGGCCGGTCAGTGACGTCACGGCCCGGTGTCCGATCGACCGCGTCGACCGTGGCCGGCGTGGGCAGAGGGCCGCACCGACCAGACGGTGACCCGGCTCGTTCCAGTTCGCCCAGCTGCGCCCGAAGCCCCAGCCGGTCATCATGGAGAGCGAGTTCAAGGCGCCGCCGAAGGTGCCCACCCTGCAGGCGCTGATCGAAGAGCTGCACCGCGTGTTCGCCCGCGATCGGGTCAACGTCGATTACGTGCACCGTCTCATCGAGGGCTACGTGTCCAGCTACGACGACTGGAAGCAGTACGCCAAGTTCGACAAGTTCAAGTAAGGCTGTCCGCGGGCAGCCGCATTGCGTTTGGCGCTGCGCACAGCTGGTTTGTTTGGCGGTAGTGTCTTGTCCAGTTGCGGTTTCGGCGGCATTACGCATGCACACAATGTGCGTCACAGAACACTTTGTACAACACACGCTTTGCACACCCTTAGCGTATCGCCTCCATCGTCCCTGCTGACACTTGGCACTCTTTCCTTCCCTGGCGGACCTGGCGCCAACTGCGCCCCTGTCGCCGATCTCCGCCCCCCTCCCCCCACCTGGCGTCGGTTAGCCGATCCCAGTCGTCTCGGATGCAGATGTCCTCGTGTCTGCCGCCCATATGCTTCACGGCTCAGCCCTGGCGCCCACCAGGACGCTGGAGGGGAGCCAAGAAAGGATCGCTGTGAACGGCAGTGGCCGACTGGGTTTGGTGTAAGGGTGCGTTGCCTGCGGCGAAAGAGTACGCCTCGCATGTCCCGACGCTGTCTCCCCGTCGGTTTTCGTGGCGCGTGACCGCAGCTGGCCGGATGTTGGGTCGAGCTCCATCGTTGAGTGACGCACCGACAGTCTCAGTTTTGTCGTCGACCTCTGACGTACTCTCGGCATGCATAGCTGACGAGTAGAACGCTGAATGCCGCGGATGTTATGAGGCTGGAAAACGCCAACAAGTTACGGTGTTCCCAATCCACGCGAATGATTGGACGCAGCGGAACACTGTTAAGCTCCATGTGTAGCGGAGCTCACCTCACCTGAGGTCACCTGAGGTCACCTGAGGTCATCTCACTCGGTGTCGGTTAGAGCCGTGGCCGTGCGATGATGGCGGCAGGAGTGATCGATTCGTGGTAAGGTATTGATCTTGTCCTCCGCAATTAGTTGGCGTTTGCCCCATGAAGCTGTGATGGCACGCGAAGATCAAACAAAGTTAGCTACTGTCTCGGCGAACAGCGTCTGGGAGTAATAGAGTCACAGCGAGGGTCTCGGGCATGGTTCAGACATCGTAGGTCTGGGGCGGAATTGCGGCTTGTTCCAATGTCGTCAATGTATGCCTGGTGTGCCAATGTGTGCCAGCCAATGTCAACCTGGGCTGGACGAGGGTGGCCTCGGCCCGACACCCCCAGAACGAACTGAGCCAGAGCCAAGCGGAAGGCGGTATCGGGTGCCTCGCCTCATTTGCCATCGGATTGATATAGATAAACGTCATTGGAAACGTTTTTTGAGGGGCCAGCACAGCTCAAATGGCCGAAACTAGTAGCATGGTTCTGCTTTCCGCGTTCTCAATAATGTGCGCTATGTTAATCAGGAAAGCAATTGACTATAATACGTTAAATCGTGCATTGGTAAAAGCCCACCAGTAAGTACGGCCCATAATCATAGACGTAACCACGCCTCAAGTGCCGTCATGGTTCCCTCCTGTTTGGGTGCCCATTTGACATTGTCAAAACGCAAAAATAGTCCAAGACACACAAATGGCTAGTTGGCAACCGAGGCCAATGATAGACCACATCAAAGCCAGTGTATTGTCTCTTCGTGAGCTGCATTTGCATGACAAACGCTAGGTTTTCTAGAGCACCCGAAAGTATCACGTTTTTTTCGTGATAACCAGTGAAACGTAAGCGATGACATTTTATTTGCCTAAGGTTACCGAACACTAGGTTAATTAAGTACTGCACTTTATAGCGATGTACTTTTATTGGCTAGAGGCTAACTGAAACCCCGTTTCTACCAAATGTGGTGAGGTCAGCTTATGGCACCTCAGACAGATGAAAAGCCCCAAATCAATCCAGTTTAACCTTGGTAGCGACCCGAATAATCATGGCGGCTTTACAAAAAAAGGCAAGTGGCGGCTATATGCAGCTTGTAGCAAAAGTGGTCAGTCAGCCCAATGCGCATACTAATTTTAAAGGAAATTGTAGTTGCATGCTCGGGGAAAGGAATCAACCAAAAAGCTCAACTCCGCCTGGAAATTGACCTCCTCCCGGGAGCATCTTGCCGTTTCGGAAACAAATAATTGCTTTCCTTTCGTAGTTAATTTTTCATTGCACATAAACGTGGAAAATGGTACTCTGTGTGTGCTTACCAGACTCACGATTATAGAAACGGCTTCTTGGAACTTTCTCCACACCTCATATCAAACTGACGCCCGCGGAGACTGACACCGATGTCTCCCTCCGTTATTGCGGAGTTTGAGATGCGTCACTGTCAGAAACGTTGATAAGAGTCAGCCAGAAACCAGCGAAATCCGTTTTTTTGTGTGTGAGGTGTTAAGTGTTAACAACGCGGAGTTAACGTTTCAGGATTTGAAGGGAACATTCGAATCTATTCTTATCTTTTGGAATCTCGGATCCAAAGTCAATCAACCCACCATGGAATCGGAATACGAAGCTAAAGAATTACCATAATTCGGATAGGTATGCCACCAAAAGGTTCCTCAGGGTAGGGGGCACGCGCCAAGTTTCCCATAATCGTGCGACTTTGGACCCAACTCCAGCAAAGCCACCCAGCTAAGCATAAGCCCCTTCACTTGGGGCCGAAAGGGGCCCTCCTTTAACAATCCACTGGGCCAAGTCCCTCGGTTTGAATGAGGTCAAAGCCATGAATATGAAGTCAAGTTTATAATATGTCAAGTCTTACATCTGTTTTATTTTAATGTTTATGATCACGGAGCTCATGATGTCGGTGCTGCATTGGACTGAGTCCTGCGTCTTGACTGCATTATATGAGTTATTGTTGAACCAAACTGCTGTAGTTATAGATCCTATCCCAATACCACGTGCCGCTGGTGTACTGCAAGAGCGACAGTAAGACAGCTTTGGTAGCAACTCAGTGAAGCCGAATTACAGATTACGGATTCCACGGATTGCTGACGGGGAAGGGGAAGAACGGCCGGAAATCCGGGGTCCTCTGTCCTCAACCTATGGGACACCTCGGACGAAGCGATCTGCAAGTGCGTAAAAGTGCCTATAAACTGGAATAATAAGCGAGATTGTTAACTCAGAGGATATCAATCACCACTTCGCAACGATAAGAATAAGGGACGTTCGGCCAGAAACCAATGAACTGCCTTTCAGGCCGGAGTTGCGCATAACAATTTCGAAAGCACGATGCCAATGTTCGAATCTTTTGGAATATCTTCGGGTCTCAAACCCGAGTTCGAATGCACCTACCATATGATTCGAGTACCAAACTGCGGCGAAAACCCACTAACATGTAAACATTTGCGCGCCGGCGCCCATGGATCCAACTGGGCGGGCGCCTGCGGCTCACTGATGTGCATTCCAAGGCTGCATGGCCACGAGCACTGTCAGCTGTCCCAGATCAATACATGGCATTCAAACGCTGCGCCATTCGTGCGGTCGATCCATCCATCCAATGGCGGGAGCGGAAATGAGAAGGCCGTTAGTGTCCGCAGGGAGGTAACGGCGCGGCATGCTGGCGCTGGTTGGTGCTGTCGTCACAGAGACGCCATCACGTAAGCAACGTGCTTGCTATGAGGATCGAATACAACAGTGCCGATTGGTTCTGTTCAGCCGGAGTCGCGGTACCCCGAACGTTCCACTTCTCTTCAGAGAGAGAGTGAGGCTTAAAGAGGCTTTCACAAGAATGGCCTATTCAGTACACGAGCTTAACCATCACCGTACGTTACACTTAACGGTGCACTTGGGTCACCCAAAATGTCCGGCAAAAGCATAAAACAAATTGCATGCAAAACATAGTCCGACATAGTAAATTAATCGTCCAGTCCAGCTTCACAAAGTTGTCACCGGCGTTACCCTGCTGAAGACTGGCCTCCAGCGCCGTGCGATAGTTGAAAGTCAATCGCTGGTGGGGACACCGGCGAATAATTTGATGACTGGATGAAGTCCCCGCATTACACGCGACGCGACTGTCGCAGTTGACGGAAGGCGGAGCATATGCTATCCGCCAAAGCCTAAGTCGCCAGGTTATTTTCTCGATGGACTGGCATGTTTTGGTTGACGTATTCTTATCAAAATCATGTATTACAAGCAGTGGTATGTTAAGTTCACAACCCACTGGACACACAGAGGGGCTAGGCGTGGGTGGGGAAGTATCCTTATTACGCACACCTCACAGTCAAATTGTGATTTCGGTTCCTGATTCTCCATCTAACTCCATAATAACTAGGCTCAGTACATCTCTTTGTGGCAATGGGAAGCATTTTATGAAATGTTTACATTCGTGCGCTCTTTGGAACACATTTCCTAACATCTCATGTCGAGAGCTGCTAATAATGCACGGTTCTCATTTTTCCTCTGTAGCACCCAAGTCTCATAGCAGGCCCGGCGCCGACGACTTAGACTCTTCCTGATGAACCTTAATCCTTGATGGCTTTCCAGCACGACCAAAACCCCAGAATAGCGTGCGGAAACTTTATTTAAACATGATAACTATATAGAGCGCCTATTTGCCCTGCAGAGCATGCTTGCCGTAACACCCAACATAGATAGCAAAGCACATAGTCTGATGCAATTCGCTACAGCTTGAATTGATCGGCGCATCACAACTTAAGTATTGCGACGTTCTCTAAAGCATAACGGATTACAAAGGAAGCCACAGGCCTAGATGCGTGACTCAAGCAGACCTAGCTCTAACAACAGAAACCATGTTCTGACAGCACAAACCATGTTCCCACAGCTTTCACGGGGAAACGGACAACAAGGTTAAAACGGATTTTGTTATTTTGTTATCTGGTGAGGGGATTTTTTCACCATGATTTTCACAGAACTGGAACCCCTATGGGGGATGTCGTTTACAGTTAGCCCACAACTAATCTAAGTTAGCCTTGTCAGCCTGTATGCGAGGGTGGACTCTTCTTTCTGGGATAGGACAGTCGGCTCCTCGGTTTGTCGCTCAGCTCGGCTCGCGCATGTCTCAGTGTTCTTACCGGAACATCGTGGGCATCACTGGCCTCGCAGGGCTCAGGCGACTGTGAACCACGGCAGAATGAGCTCCTCGTGGCCTCTCCCCCCTTCACTTTGGCTTATATTTTTTTTCGAGCTGAGAAGTGGGAAGAGGAATGACTTGAAAGAAAACAAAGGGGAAATAACGTGTAAGACAATATTCTCAGCCAAACGCAGGTGGGTTGCGACAAACAACATGCAATGAACAGGAATAAAAACGTTGACCTCAGGGAAGTGTCAAATCGTGAGCATGGACACCTCCCACCACCGGGATCTCTATTAATGACGTTGTCCCCCATTCCTCGCGTACGATTTCCAGCAATGCAACTAGGTTTATTAGGTTCATTATTGAGGAGCTTAAGGCAACCCTTTAAAAGTAATGTTTCACACTTGCAGGCATTGAAAAAAGCTTCAAATGTGATGAAGCAGGCTTACTTATAACTGTGTGTATACATTTAAGTGGGAAATACTTTTCTAGATCACACAGTTTCTTTAGTAGATGGGCTCCACGGTACGTCGTTGTTTTATTACGTCATCATACCTTGCACAACATTTATTGAGCACCAATGGTCGGCCGTTATGTCTAGATGCCTAATGTGCTCACGAACGCCAGATATGAACGACCCGACCATTATATTTTTCCTTGGACTTGATCGCCGCATGGCTTACAGAGTGGCGATATTTGAATGGCGTCATTGTGGCGTCGTAAATGCCAAGGTGACCATAAAATAGTCTCGCCATGTTTGCGAGCGTTAGCTCAGAAACTAGAGGAGTTTAGGTCTTAAGAAGGACAGGATTGTAACCAGCACCGAAAGGTCTTCAAGATGGCCATTTCAGTTCAAAACCACATGCCAATGTGGAACACTGCCTTTAAAGGGGATGCATGCCTACATGTTTGCAAGCGGTGTAGAATAAATAGGAAGGGTGTTGGTAGACGCTCACACGATTATGAGCTGTTGACAGGATGACACGAGTACTGACAACAAGTTACGGAAAGAGTATCGGTGAGTAACATTCATAAATGAAAAGTCAAAACGGCCTTTCCTGAAAACCAGCCCAGTGACAAGTTCACGGGACACGGTCTCATGCTCACTCTACAAAGGCAACCAAAGAGACAAACATCTAGCAAAAAACGTTAGCTTGGAGTGGAGAGAGGTCAAAATTGTAATTTCGTCACGTGCGTCTGCCGACCAATCAAACGTTAGGTCAGAACCCAGAATCGACATGTCTGTCAATGCGACTACAAATAACACCTCGTCAAAACTGATAAATATTTTTATCCTTTTAAAGCAATGTGGGTTAGTACTGTGCGCCCCCTCCCCATTCCACGCCTGCACACACGTCGACAGACGACTGTGCGCGATAAGAAAGCAGGGACCGTGCACTTTTGAGAAAGAAACCCCCAATCACGTGCACTACCATTTAGCCTTCACATCAAGGGACTGACGCATGCTGGGTCTAAGTAGCCTCCAACGCGTGGAGAGCACGCTCTTCTGGTCCCAAAGACGCAGAACCGGTTAGCCGGGTCATACAAAGCCGAGGTTCAGAAGTCAGCTATCTTGAGACATGCAAATTAGAGCAGGCACTATTTCAGTAAGACAAGGAAATCTACCTTTCAAACAACGCTGTCCTTTTTTAGGCGATGCGGCCTTATCCGGCCGCAGCGTTGCTCACGTGGTGGAGACGAGACAGAGGAGAGGCGCGTCACAGCCAGCTGGTTGCCGTCGGCGTAGTCACGGCCATCTGCCCGTAAACATGTTCTTGCGTTCGTGCGTAATAAGGAACGGTGCGTAGTTCGGGCGGTTAACCTACGTTGGTCACGGGCGGATACAACCACAGAAGCCATTACTGTTGTAGTTGGGATATAGTTTTGCATGACAAAATTCGGGTAAATGTGAAATGGATTAAGTAAACTATGGTGAAGTCCCAGAATAAAACGTCGAAAAAGATGCCCCTATGTGAAAGTTAACCGATGCCAATGCAAAGATGGACTTATATTTCTCAGACTTCCAGATGTGTGCATAGGACAATAGTCAAGCATCACAGTGGTTAGCATCGGTTACAACGATCATCATCATGGGATCGGTTATGACATCGCCATCATTGCCACCCTGGTTAGTTTCTGATTTCTTTGACTTTTGCATATAGCAGTATTTAAACATCGCATGCACGTGGACATCTGAATTACGGCGGTAGCTGAGATCCGGCGGGAAATTTCTTCTTCTTCTTTCGGTGGACACGTTTTATGTCAGGTAGTGTCACTGAACACTTGTATGACACTCACTGACAACTTGTATGACACTAGTTACGATGCACAACGCATCGTAACTAGTTTTGTATCAGTTGCTGTCAACGATGATTGCAAAGCATTTTCTGGCAACAAAGCCGCCGAGTGCTGCTACAGGTACACATTTTACACCACACCCGAACCACAATCAATCAGCTCAATGCCCAGCAGCTTGCCAAGTACTTCGACCAGATCACAGTCCAGAAACCGCTGCGTCGTTGAACAAAGTCATGACGTCAGCGAATCTTACCCATTTGAACGCCTGACGCATTGATAATTTGACTGAACTTTGATTTCGACTTTGCTCCCCGCCCAGAAATGCTCAAAATCCATCAACTTGGGATACTTTGCCGGTGTTTTACCGTACTTCTTTATTTTCTATTTTTTCACCCGCTAACGTTTGCCACAGCGTCACGTATAGGTACCCGCTGAATGCCAAGGCCATCACGGCGTGTTCGACCGCGTATCGAGGTGAGCTTTTATTCTCTGTGTGTGTACGACACTCCATGACGTGTCGTTTCCGTGCGACAATGACATGTGATCGTGCCGTTCAGGTACACGCGCAACCTGGTGGACGCTGGGAATGGACGGTTCGACATCATGCTGCTCTGCTGGCCCGAGAGTATCGCCTCCACCATACACGACCATCAGGACTCGCACTGCTTCATGAAGGTGATGAGGCAGCGTTCATCGAGCGAAGACGGCCGATCTAGAATTGGCGAGGCATTGCTGCGTACAAACGCTTCGGGTTGTATGTGCTTGGGTGGCGTGAGATCAGATACATGGATGAGAGTCTCCATGCAGTCTACATGCAGTTTTGATCCTGCATTTTACATTGCACATCCACACCCACCCCCATGCCTACGCATCCACGCCCGCACACATCCACACCCACACAATTCATCACACATCCACGCGCGAACATTCCTGATAGAAACGCACATTTTCGTACCCTGCTTCAAAAGCGGGCAACAGCATGTTTCACCCCTTCTCTGTTACGTGGTTTGGCTGTCCGGTACAGTGTCTTAATTTTCGGAAGATATGGGTTTTGGGATGACTGGTACCGTCCATTTACGTCATCCACACAACAGCCTGAAGTAGCACTCTCGGTGAGGGGAGTCAGCTTTTTGTGTTGTATCACCTATAAGACAGATTTTGAATCTGTTAAAAACTGACCAACCCATTTTGAGTTTGCTGCCAGTGTAGCACGCTTTCATGCAATGGTGACCCTTTTTTACGCTCGGCAGCACCGGCTACTCGCCTTCATGATATCATATACAGCGCAACAGTGATGGATCAGAGCAAGTGCAGGTGGCATTCAGTATGAGTCAACGGCTTGAAGAGCACGAATAACATAAATACGCAACTTAAAAAGATACTATACGTGTATGAAACTAGCTCATAAGGGGCCCCCTATCTTATTTACGTGAAAGGCTAGGTTGGACTCCGGAGGCTTCTGCGGCTCCGTTGCCAAAGCATGGCATCTAGATTTCCAAATTTGATTACTTTTCTTCTATATCACCTGTACATACTCTGCTTAACTAACGCCAACAGAGATGACACGGGAGTGGAGTGGAGTGGAGTGGAGTGGAGTGGAGTGGTGGAGTTGGGTTGGGTTGAGTTGAATTGAATTGAGCCGAGTCGAGTCGAGTCGAGTCGAGTCGAGTCGAGTTGAGTTGAGTTGAGTTGAGTTGAGTTGAGTGAAGTGGAGTGGAGTGGAGTGGAGTGGAGTGGAGTGGAGTGGAGTGGAGTGGATTGGATTGGAGTGGAGTGGAGTGGAGTGGAGTGGAGTGGAGTGGCTCCAGGGCCGGTTTTCGGGAGAAAGTCATGACAAATTGCGGGCTGATCGCTTTTGAAATACGCGTAGTGCCAGGCCACTCACGGCTACTAAAAACAAGAGTAATCATAAATCCAATTAATATAAAAGATTGTCGTACGGGCTGTAGAGGTGTCGAAGGACGGCTACACAATCATTAATTCATGTTGGTGTTGGTGCTAGGATTCGATATATCATACCTGTTTGCACACTTACGTCCGTGTATTCCATGCTGAACACATGAATACTGCGGAAGCGGATAATGAGGTGACGGAGGTGAATCCAGAACAAATTATTGCTGGTGGGGAAGGAGTGGTCGATGGAGAAAATTTTGATAAAAACGGCTTTGAATATCTTGTTTATTGCAACAAATTGACCATGCCATCCCGCCAGATTGTGCATGTTTTGGAGGAAGACGCGCCATCAGGGGCAGCGCTAGATCCAGACATAAACCTCCCATCTGAGATCGCCAAAGTCTCTGAACAGAAATGCAAAGCAATGCATTACACTTGAAAACCTTACATAAAGAGGCAAAAAGCTCTGGTCAACGTTATTTTTCTTCACTTACCGGATCACTAGTATTTGCCGTGGTTTAAATGAAATAAGATAGCTCGGATCCCAACCAAGTCCCAGCAGCTTGAAGCTTGCCGTTTGAATGCGCCCAGTGGGTAGATCGTGAGATATCTAAGGGCTAGATCAGCTCAAGATCGTGTAGCCATGAGAAGACCACCAACTTTTTCATGCGACCTTCCAAACATGGACAGATTTTATCCAACCTTAACTCCTCTCATTTCATTCCAACAGGCTTGCAACATCATTTTTATGTAGCTTCAACTGTACAATTCCCAACCACCTGATGTTAAGGTAGGCAAGACGCACAGTAAGCGGTGACGATTGCAGAAACCCAGCGTACACAGTGGCTTCTGCCGTCGGATTTAGCCAGCCCCAGGAACTACGGCCGCAAATCAGCGGTCACGGCGGTCTTCTTCGATCCGCCGCGATATCGCCTATAATCGATGATGCTGGACCAGCTCGTGGTGGGAACGTCCCTGAAGACGGCTGTGGCTGCCAGCCCCCAACCAGAGCCGACCGTGCCGCCGCGGCCGCTCAACGCCGGTCACGCTCCCGTCTCGAGCGGGCCCGCCGCCGCTAGCAGTCTGACTCGTGTCACAGAGACCAGTCCCGGCACTGGGGCTGTCACTCAGTGTTGCCATGGAGACGCTGCCACTGCTGGCTTTTGATGGTGCTACTTTTGACGTCCTTTGTTTATTTCACGTGAATGACAGCGCCAGATGCCAAAAGGTAGGAATATTACTTGGACATATAGCTACATGCCAGTGCACGGAACGTTGCGAATAGTGCGTTAAGGAGAGTGTTCCACATTTACATGGAGTTTTGAACTGTAATAGCCATCTCGAAGATCATTCGGTGCAGTTCACAGTCATGCCCTTCTTATCGCCTAAACCCCTCTGGTTCCCGAACTGCACGCCCGCAAAGATGTACAGATCATTTCAGGAGACTGTTTCAAGGTCATCCAGGCATCCATGACGCAATAATAACGTCATTTAAAGCCTACCATTTCATAAGCCATGCGGCGATCAAGGCCAACAAAAATGCAGTTGTCGAGCCGTTCATATCTGGCGTTGATGAGAACGATTTCCAAATGTAACGGCGGTCAATTGGCTATAACTTACCGTTTTGCAAGATGCAATGACGTATTCAAGCAGTGACGTAATGAGGAACATATTTACTTAACAGAGAAGTTGTTATGTCTGGAACATTTTTTTCCACTCCAAGGTATCTTATGATTGTAAGCAAGCTTATTTCAGCACATCTGATGCTTGCTCCAATTTCTTCAAATGTTGAACCTTTTCTTAAAGAGACGGAAAACTGCTCTTCAGTCCATTTACTACCATACGTCGCAATAGGGCTACTGCTCATTTTTGACCATTCGGAAGGACAAGAGCTATACTTTCCCGAGGCTGGGATCCGTTGTCCCTCCCCCTCCCCCTGCTTCCCTGCTCCCGCACCATTGATACATGAGTTAATCGTGTGTATGGACGGATGGCGTGAAAATTTTGTTCTCTCATATTTTCTCTGTCCATAGTTTCCTAATAGACCGAGGCAGATTAAATAGGTCACATACTAACCGCAGCTCGCTCCCATACTCCCATATCTAAAAACTCGAGCGTTAGTGGTGGTCTGAAATGATGTTATCCATATACTCACGCTCACGTTGATGAGCTCCGCTATCTCCGCTTCCATGCACGGTGCTCGGTGCTCCATGCTCCATGCCTCGCCGTCGAGCCGTTGGCACTACAGCGTAGCGGCGGGGTGACGCGGCGACCGTTGGCTCCTCAGATCCTGCAGGGAGAGCTGCAGGAGGTGCGCTACTCCTGGCCTGACGACAGCACGCCAGACGAAGGCATGAAGGAGCTGGGAAGAAAGCGGCTTCCCCTCAATGGCGTCTGCTACATCAACGGTATGAGGACGACACTGATGAGGGCGTTAGCAAGACAACTGCAGGTGTCTGGCGCTACGTGTATGGTGCAATGTTTTCAGAGGAAGTATAAAATATCCAACCACATTGAGCCCCTTTGGTAGACAAGTTTGTGTGCGTGCATGGGAAAAAAGACAGGGTCACTCAAGGCGAACGTGTATCCTGGCGTTTGTGGCCGCCGGATGTCCACTAGAACGTGATTGATTTCGTTAGATATTAAGCAAGGGGAACCGAAGACTGTTACATGCCAACAGCAACAATTTGTCAGCCACTTAGCCGTAAATGTGCCACTGTGGCATTTAAACCGAACATTTTGCTAGCCTCCCATTCTTAAAAATGTTGCCAATCTGTTGCGTAGGTCTTACTATGCAGAGCACCCTTCCTCGCAACACACAATGCGGCATCACTCAGCACGCCTATCCGTTTGCAAAGTGGCTCGGTATCAGTTTAAAGCCACTTTCGAAGCACCACTACCGCGAACGCAAGCGGCACATGTGTCCCGCCCGGAGGCAGAGTCGGTGTCGGCAGCCCTGCTCCGGCCTAAAGCACGTGTCCCTGCCGGCGGCAGACTCGCTGGGGCTGCACCGCGTGGAGAACCCCAGCCACTCCGAGCGCGCCGTCAGCCTGCACGTGTACGTGCCGCCATTCCACACGTGCCAGGCGTTCGACGAGCGCACGGGCCGCCGCCAGCAGTGCCGCGTCACGTTCTGGAGCAAGTACGGCAAGAGGATCACGGTGGGTTCTGGAATCTGCGCAGCGGCCCGTACCTTTCCCCGCTGGCAAGGGCTGCCGGAGCAGCGTAACGGATTCAGCTGGAAATGTTCACCAGACGTCAGACATTCAGGCTCCAGGCGCGCGGGCTCAAGGCCGGAGCGCGCGACGTTTGGCGACTCGCTGGTTCCGAGCATGACTTTATTTACAGGCCCACAACTTCTTGACGCATGAAAAAGTAGTGCAAGGCCATCTAGCCCTTCCGATCGAATCGCCACAAACGTGTGTACTGCAACGTGAACTTGTCAGTGCAATGTGCCCCTCATCGTTCTTTCCGTGCTGAACTGAGAGTTCTTCCGCTGGTCATCTCGACTGTTGGTGGCGTGACACCGGTCTTACGCAGTTGGCCGCGTTTGTTCGAGACTCGGTCGTGGTTGGGAGCCCACAGTATGCTTTGCTTGTTTCCAGTACCAGCCAAGCATGGACGCCGCCCTACCGCCTCCTCCGCACACCATCCAGTACGAGAAGCCGGACAAGCCGCAGCCAAAATCCAGACCACCGCTGGTGCGAGCGCATGCGTCCATCCAGGAGTAACACGCACTGATCGAGCGGGTCGGCTCCGGTCATGGCACTGTACAGAGCGTGTTTCGACCCAGCGGGTCAACGCTGCACACGGACGCGGTGCAAGAAGCATGCACCGACTGGGCTGGGATCAAAATGTCATCGTACCTAGCGTTCACGGAAGTGTCCACGAAAAACATGCTGAAGCTCTCAAACCAGCTCTTGACATGAAGCCTGGTGTAATTCGGGAACTCATTTCTCAAAGAAAAAAGCTTGTTAAGCGATACAAAGCTGTTTCAGAGCCTTCGCATTGCCCTTGTCGGGTATGGCACACGCATGCCATGTTTTATTTATGGACAGCAAATTGCTATATTTTTGATAATTGATCTAGACAATACACGGCATGAATTGAGCCAACGCTGTGCGTCTGTACATAGCTGGTGTGTCAGCAGGCTGAATACAGATTCGTTTCTCTGCAGACCCGCATCTAGACTCACGGCCAAGGCACTGTGTGATGTCGGGCGGCGGGGCTCAGGATCATTTTGATGCATGTTTGGCAGTAATAGCCCACCCCAACTTTGGGTTTATTACTTGCAGCGGTCAGAGGTGATGCACCAGTCATGTCACCGCAGCACTGTAAGTAGGAAGCATTTGATGAGTCGGGCATTTAATATTAAGCGCATGTAGAAACGCTCACGTGTTTCATGACGACGTGGGTGATGACAGTTATCCGCCCAGCTGTGCTTATTTTAACTCCCGACAGCTCACCAACAGCCACGACAGCACGAGGTCTCACGTGCTCAACAGTCGGTATGACCACATGCCTCATGTTCCAAAATTTGAGGTGATCAGGGATGCAGCCAGGTTTGAATTTAATGAGTACGTGGTGACGCATGGGCCGGCATTGGCTCATTGATAGCTAACCCTCCTTTTTATTTCAGTGTATTCTACTTCAACGTTGAATAAGATTCGAAATTGTCACGAACTTTGTCATATTCATACCGCTTGTAGTCATATTTCGCTTCATTTTAGACAACCAGAAGGGGAATAAACGCAACGCATAGAGCCAGAAAATAAACCGTTCTGAACAGCACAACGCGAGATTGAGTTACTCGCCCGCCGTGCACAGCTTTGGGCACCACATCCCTGCCGGTGTTTGTCTGACTGATTATGTGGCAGCTGTACGGCCATACTTACGTAACGCAAGACAAAAGTATTTAAACGGTGCTGCCCGAAGGATTCCGGATATGTTTGCTAACCCGGAATATCGGTGCAAAACCTCTTTTACGGCGGCAAGATTAGGCATTGGGTAACGCGTGAATGACACGCTGTCCGGACTATTGTGGTGGGTACCAACGTCCTTGATGTGACCTGACGTAGCGAGTTATGTTACCTTATGAAAGCAAGCATTGCTTCTTAAATCATAGCTTACACAGCTCGTCCTGTGTAGATACACGGCGGCGGATCTTATTTCGTGGTAGAGAAAAAGCCGCCGCATCGCAGCACGTGCGGCCTAATCGGCTGTTCGCGATCGTTCCGCAGCTGGTGACATGTGCATGACGTCATTCAGGGCCTGCTGCCGGCTGGCCTGGGACCGGGGGACCATTGCCAGACTCCGACGAAGTGAGCCGCCTGCTGTTTACTTGAAAACGCCTGCTCCGCGCTTTTGTTTATATGTCGAGAGCTGAACTGGGGCCTGTGGCGCATTTCTCTGCTGTGCGCCACCGTGAGCTGGTGCAGCTGCGATGTGTCGCTGGGTGGCGGCAGCAGTCTGGTTTGTGCTTGACGTGCGTTGCAGGCCACTTTGGGTACATACGTGCAATATATGTTTAGGCTGTGGAAGTCTTGTACATGCTGGTTTTGAATGGGCCTGCGGAGCGGACATTCCAGTTCGACAACATACACCACATCTATCTACTGAACCGCGACTTCTATTAATGAACCATATTTATATAAACCGCAAT